ACATAATCATTACAAGGATATTTTAATTGACCCTAATCTAAATGAGGCACGTTTTAATTAAAAAAAGAAAAAAAAAAATCTTTGATCATAAAGTGCTTTTTCTTATTAACACCTATAATGAAAACAAAACGAAAAGAAGATTCCAAGAATTGAAAAGGAGAAATAAAAACAAAAACAACTAAAAAAAATAAATAAATAATTCTAACCTAAAATAAAATTAGATTGTTTTTGTGTAAGCCTCTTTATATAAAGAAATTCGAAAAAAAAAATCTACTCTTTCAATGCATAAATTATAAAATATACTTTTAGTCCTTATTGTTTTTGTCCCCCCCCCTCCCCAAAATATAGTTGACATTTAAATGAAAAGAAAAAATGTTATTTTTAACTCAGCACACTTTAATTTCATTCCACTGAACAATTTTATTTTTCTATTAAAAAATAAAATGGGGGAAGGAGGGAGATATAACAACGACGACAATTATCAAGATGAAAAAATTTAATGTAAAATTCATAAGACGGGGCCGCCAGATTGTCCATTTCCCCAATGATGTTTAAACGTGCTAAACAAATAAATTGGTACTAGTGTTACAGAAGAGCTGCAGAAGAGATGGTGAAATTTTTTTATATAAAATTTTTTATTCTCAAAAAAAAAAAAAAAAAAAAAACAATTGGCCCCCAATGAGGGCCCAGTTATTCCTAAAAACTAATTTTTTCCAAAAAAAAAAAAAAAAAATAGTTTATTTTATTGATTGAGACGAGGCTTTAAAATTCAATTGAATTAAATATTTTTCCTAAATTTGCTTCAAAAATATAATACTGGCGCCCTATGATGGACCACTTTCTGAAATTAAATTTTTTTTTTTAAAGTTTCATAGTGTTTGTCCTCCAAAATAACATAAAATCGTTACAGAATTTTTAAACGGTACTCAGTGGATATTATGATCTAAGAATTGCTTAGGCACCTATTTGACGGTGCTCAACAAAAAGTTGAGCAATTAACTGAGATTTCAAATTTTCGTTTTAAAACCCGAATTTTCATAGGAAGTAGTTTAGCTTTAAATAAACACCATGTTATGTTGTTAAAAATTGTGCCATATGGTATTGGATAGTAAAGCAATACTAGTCTTTTCCTCACTACTATTCACGGTGTAGCCGCACTCACAAGAGAAACTACGATACCAATAGGAATAGAAGAAGGGAAAAAAAAAACTCTCGCAGTTCAAATTTTATTTCATTCCGTTTTTTTTTTTTCTTCATTATGTTTTATATAATTAGGGATGTCCTTTAATGGATTTTATTTTCCTTTTTTGATTATTATCACCATTTCATGTCTGTGCGTTATATTTATTGATTCAATTTCGGAATTTTTCAATAATTATTTTTTTATATTATAATTAATTTCATTTCCTCTTCATTCAATATGAAATCTTGCTTTAGAAACTCGAACAAAAGATTTTTTTTTATTATTCTATTTTTAATAAATTAAAATTTTGATTTTATTTAATTCATAAAGGAAAAAGGAATAATTTTGTAATTAAAAACAAACGTGTCAAATATTTAAGTGCTCTTTTTTTGGGGGTCCTCATAAGATACCTTTTAGACACTTAAATAATTTTTATGATAATCACTCAAGAGATTTGATTTGAGCAATAAAAACGAATTTATAGTTAAAAAAAAATAAAATTCAATTTATTAGCTATTAAAGGATTTGTGAGGCAACCTCTCAGAAGCACTGACGGTAACACTAATGCGATTGTATAAAAGAAGTATGCACTTAAAAGGTAGACTAATGGGATTATATAAAGGAGACTAATACAATTGTATTCACCGGTACCACTAAGATCCCTCCTTTCTGAAGTCATACAAATCTTTCAGATTTTCTAAAGGTGGCAAGCAAAGTTGTTTGGTTGCCAAGATTCTCCTCTTCCTATTTTGGCGTTGGAGTGTTTTTTTTGCTCGTATGATTTTGCAGTTCTAAATAAGGCAGGATAGAAATTTTCTTTTGCTGAGTGGGTGTAGGGGGAATATTTCTCATATCTTTCTTTGTCGTATCTTGTTTCTGATTTGAATCTCACATCTCGATTATATCGTTTTATTGTGGCTTGTGACATGTCAGTACATTCCCGTTGTGCTAGTGTCATGTCGATGTTTACCTGTTCGTTTGTTTGTTTTGTTATGTTTTGCTGTCTAAGTTGACCTGGTATCAAAGAAACTCCGTACCCCTGGCTACCAAAACGCCTACTGAGAATGGACCGTACAATATCTCAAGACTTAGTGGTTAAATTTATTGATCATAGGTCTTAATCTGTTATATTAAGCCTTTTGAGATTCTTTTAGTTTTCCGGCCTATATTATGATCTCCTCAACATGGTAGAACCGGCCAGAAATTGCTGTTACAATAACCACTGAAAAAGTATTCGAGTTCATCGGCCCTACTTAAACTGCCTCACCGCATACAAAAACGTACGAACATTACAGAATATCAAATTTATTAGACCTTCACTATTCCAGTTGATAATTCCATTTTAGTTTCCTAAAAGCATTGATGTTAAATTGCCTTTAACATTTAGATCTCTATGTAACTTGTTAGTTAATGGTAAATTTATGCGCAACGCTTATATTGCGTTAACCTTGCAATATTATTTAAGTGCCATGTCCAAATTAAATCGATAATAAAACAAAAAAACAAACAATTTCTAAGAAATTCTTTGTTTTTCCATTATTTCTCTCCTACAAGTATGCGAAAAAAAATATTTTATTTTTTTCAAAAAAAAAAATTTCTGCGAATTATTTTTTTTTTTTTTTCTAGACTATTTTGTAATACCAAACAAATAAAAAAAATTTATTTGCTTTACTTTTTATTTCAAATCAAAAACAACAAAAGGATTAACAAAAAAACAAATACATAAAACAAAATTCAAGGTTTTAGGGTAAGCTTTTGTCTTTGATTTATAAAAAAGCAAATTTCCTGGTAACAACAATGAAAATTAGCCAAACTCATGAAGTTTCCAAGCAAAATATTCAAATGAGTGAGTTAAAACATAATTCCAAAAAAATTTTAAGAATTTTTAAAATTTAGGTATTTTAAGAATTTTTCGAACTAAGCAGGTATTGAATTAATTTCGTGCAAATTTTTTCATTTAAAGAATTTTATGCATATTTCTAGGATTGCTAACTTCTTTAAGTTAATGGGAGATGAATGATAACAGAACTTTTAATGTTATGCTTTAGTGACTTGAAAAATTACACTTAGAAACAAAATAGGAATAAATTGAAATATCTATTCATTCAATTTTGAAATTGAATAACAGAGAAATAACTGCTGCCGACATTATTGGAAAAGTTACCAATTATGGCAGAATAGAATGCGAACTGGAATGCCAATGATGAAAATTAAATTTATTTTAATCTCAAATTTGGAAAAAAATGTGATGATTTTTAAACTAAATACAGTTGGCGATATACAAAATTTTGGAAAGTTAAAGAAAAATGTGGAGAGAGTAATTAAAGGGAAGTAAAGGAGCAAAAATAAACAGAAATGTAAAGTATATAAGGTCATAACATTGAGAGGATCTTCCTGCTGACAAACTAAAAAGTCTCCATGTAAGAAGCTTCAAAAACAATTTAAGACAATTATAGAGGTGAGGAAGAATAAAACATGAGTTATCATTAGACTGTACTCTTACAAATTAAGAAATATTTATGGCAATTCCAATTTGGCTTGCCTTAATAAACAAACAAAATAAAATTAATAAGTATATTTTTCCCCTATATATTCTTTTTTCTCAAATATCCTAAAAAAGCAAATAATTTTCATTCTTGTAAAAATATAAACCTTGACCTATAACGTAGTTTTACAGAAACATCCACATAATATTTAAATATGTATAATATTTATGTATTATCCTTGATAATTTTTATTATTAGAATAGATGAGAAAATATAGAAAAAAAAAAAACATAAGCAATAATTCATTTTTAAAATCTCTCCTACGAGAGTATTCGCTTCAATTCCCATTGCTTTCAAATTAGTTTTTCTATATAGAATATCGAGAAAATTAGAATAGATAGGAAAATCATGATATTAAGTACATAATATGGAAAAAAAAAACAACAAAAATGTAAAAACCAACAAAATGTCCTTGAAGAAATCAAACTTAATTTGAAAGCGAATAAAAAAAAAATAAGTAATTTTTTTTTTCTGTGAAATTCTAAAAAGATTTGCAAATGAAAATTTCTAAGAATTACAATAGAGTAAGTATATATATACGGAGTAATGAGCAATTGCCAATATAAATTTATTTTTGAATATTAAAAAAAAATTAATCGAACAAACTATACACGCAGAAAACAACAACAAAAAATTATTGTAAAAAAATTCATAGAAAAAAAAAATATTTTTGCCATATTGCCAATTTTTTTTTAACAATATGAAAATTTTTGTTAAAAATATTTATTCAATTATTATTTAAAATATAATTTCCTTCATCGAAAATTTGATCATCTTAAATTTTCAAATCTAAATTAATAATCTTAACTATAGAAAACAGCGAATTTCCTCAAATATAGTTAACAATTCACAAATAAATTCTATAAGGCAATATTCAATTTAATTCAATAATATTCCATTTAAATTCAGGATATTAAAATTGGAAATTGCAAAACAAATAAATTATTTTCTCATATATCCTTAAAAATAAAATACTTGAAATATGAATTTTTCGAAATTCAATTGAAAATTAACAATTAATAAGAAATTTTAAATGTTCAATAATATTGGAAAATTTATTGAATTTCAACAAAAATGCTAGAGAATTTTTTAATCTATAGTCATAGTTTCAAGAATGAAATTTATATTTGAAATCATACCATAGGCAACAAGGTGAAAAAATCAAGTCCAGTAAGCACAAGATCGAGCTATTCTATAAATTTCTTTTAACCTATATTTACTACATTTACAATATTCCAAAATATTTAAAGAAAAAAAAAACAAATACTTACATTAAATTTGGATGTAATTGCTGTACCTTACGGCATTGTGATAATTTTGCTAATGTTAATAGAACACGATGAAAATTTGTTAAATCATAAAGCATTGTTGGTTCAAATAAATCCGATTCTCTTAATCCAAAATGATTTTTACATGCATCCAAAAATAATTTAATATTAATGCAACAGAGAAACTGTAAAAGAAAAATAAAGAAAAAAAAAAATTTTTAATTTTTTCTTAAAAAAAATATTTATTGTAATTGAGCGTATACTTAAAAGAATTAAAAGGAAGCCGAACAAGGCTGTCGCGGTTCTGCGAGGGAAAATTTAATTATCGAAAACGGGTTTAAATTCCTAGCAATCAAATTCGCTAAGATCTTAGTAGGCTGAAAGAAGAGAAACACAAGAAATATTTATTTGGAGTTCGCAAACGTGCGGTATAAAAATAGGAGGCAGGCCATCGTTTCGTCCTCTTCCTCCTCGCCATCACGCCAGATACTACAAAGAATATTTATGAATAGCCGATTCTTCTGACCTACTCGAAGATGAGACAATGCACCGGCAAGAGATCTGTTACAGCAACAATATTCTCCCATCGAAGAGGTAACCGATTTTCTATGAAACAATTTTCTTACCGTGTTTTAGGTTGTTCTATTTTCTTATATAATTTTGCTCTATTGCTAAGTTGCACGACAATAGCTTACAGAAATTCATATTTACGTGAAATTGAAAATTACTGTTATCAGTGCATTAACGAATTCAAGGCTAATTAAAATTTTTCTTAATTATTCAAATATTAAAAATAAATTCAAATACGTTTGAATAAATCTTTAAATTCTAAATTTATATTGAAAGAATAGCACTTTAACCCACATAATATACAAAACTAAACCCAACTATCTACTCTCAACATAATAAGATGGTGCCAGTTAAAAGTTCATAATTTATATGCAAAAACATTTACAATGCACATCCTTATAAGATACTTACTTCATTGAAAATAGTAAATGAATAAAAACATGACGCACGAATTAAGGATTTTAACGTATGTACGTGATTTCATATCCCAAGAATAATATCAATAATAGAAAGTTTCATATAAAGATACTAAAATACTTTTTTTTTTTAACTTTAATACGATAATCGAATGAAATTAGTACTTAAAGAAAAACAAAATATGAATATTTAAACGTACCGTATATCGAATTTTATCTCACTAAATAAAAATAAAAATTATTTTAAAAAAATTTACTCTATATATAATAAAAAATGATTTTATTTTCAAAATGGATGCATATTCAGAATTACGTGACTTCTTGAATTTTTAAATTTCATAAAGAAATATAGTTAGTTATACTTTTTGAAAGAGATTTCCATAATTTGAAATAAGAACAAAATTTGCAGTTGATTAAACTTTTTATTTACAAAGTGGCACATTTTCTTTTAATAATTTTTGATCTAAAACTGATATTTTACTAAGTAGATACGATTCTAAACAATGAAAACAATATTCTATTGAAATAAATTTTTTGTCACCAATTACATATATTGAGGAGGTTTAGCTTCCTCCTAAAAATATGCAATATTTATACATATGACATATATGTAGGAGGCTTACACTGTCAATATGCAATATAATGTGATAATGATTTAAGAAATATTAATTTTTAATTTAAGGACTTAGGATAACATTGAGTGGGGAAGATTTTGTTGAAGTTACGGAGCCGTCCGAATTACGACTTAGGAAAATACATTGACAGTACGTTTACCGAATTTGAAAATTAAGCATCAAATGGCCGGACGAACAAAGCGTATAAATAAACAAGCTGGTATTATAAAGCTCACACTTTTGCTCAAAATTTGTTGGAAATGAGCCAAAAAAAAAAAAAGAGAACGAAAATCAAATAATATTAGTATTTTAAGTAATAGTAGAATATTGATATGCAAATTTCGTGTCCTAAATTTCACTTAAGAACAATATTTTTTTTTGTATTTTTACTATTGCACTCATACAATCCTTACAACTATAACTATAAAATATAAAATACGTGGAAATAATTTATGAACTTAAAAATACTTTAGCTATTTTACCTCGGATATTCATGAATTTTCGAAAATACACTATAGTGCACGAATGATATTGAAAAATTTTATGGGGTTATAAGATTTCATTCAAAATTTTCAAGAAAATTCAATTCTGTTATACAGTTTGTTCTAAAAGAATCATAGATTGGTTTTGCTTCTATAGAACTTTACATAACATTTGGACTATTTTGATATATGGAAATACACAAATTTTTTATGTTAATACTCGCATTATTTTTTTATAATACAATTATTTTTTCGTATAACAAAATGAATTAAAGATCACCTATCAAAAGAATCCCGATCAACAAAAAAAATCCACGATGTTAACAATAATCTAATATTATTTTCTCTCAGTATTTTTTTAGTTCAAAGAATAAATTGAATAATTTCTACGTTGACGCAACATCCCAATAAATTAGTCTAAAATTTAATAAAAATATTTAATTAAATCATATAGATTTCCATTAAAAATTATTAATTAAATTTAAATTTTATTATAATAAAGAAATATTCCAAAAAATTATACTCTCAATAACAAAGAAAATTTAATGGATAAATAAAATGCAATTATTAAAAATTTTTAATAGAATTACTCAAAAAAAAAAATCCCCAAATTTTCGTCTCTAAATTCCATTTTATGTCCCGATATTCCTACAATATTCCAAAAAAAAATTTTTATTGTTAAAACTGTTGGACATAATTAAATTTTCAATTATGTTCACTTCATGTTTCACATACTAAAAATATCCTTAATGTAACAAAATTCAATTTTTAAAAGAAAATCAACCGAAATGAATTCAATTATAAGATATTTTGCACAGTAGCCCCACATATGTGTTCGAAAATATATATGTACACATATATATAGATAAAATTAATTTATCAGAAAATTGCTTTGCATATACACTTAATAATTTCAACCATATATTTACATTGTATGTATACAAACGTATTGTAACGCATATAACATTTTCTCTCCACAGGATTAAAACATAATATTTACCACTCAGTTAGGGGTACAAATTAAATCGTGCTGTGACATACATACATTATGATGACAAATAAAAACAAAATATATATAACAGAATTTCAATATTATTAATCCCTCTCTCTCTCTCTATTTCTCTCTGTATATGATTCCATATTCAGTAAATAGATGTAAATTATATGGATATAATAAAATTTATTATTCTAGAGAGCAAATTTTGATCGTTTATTCGTGCCATATTGAAAATTACAATAATTAACTTGCTTCAAAATAAACTAGTTTTAGAAAAAAAAATTTTTTTAGAGTGTTAGAATTTTAAATCAAATGGAATCTCGGTTAAGTAACAACTCATATAATAATGAGATTTCGTATAAAATCGAAAATTGAAGACTTCCTTTATTCTCTCTTCGTAGAAGGAAAGGAAGAGATGTTATACAAATTTGGAAATGGTTAAAATTTGTTAAAAGAAAATAAGTAGTCGAATATTGGGTTCCTTCTCTTATAAAGTACATATAACAGAAAACTGTTATACAAACTGTTATACACATATATTTTGTTATACAAAGTTTTAAAAGTTGAAAAATATCCTTGGTGATATAAATATAATATTGTTTTGACGCAATATATAGAGAGTTTTCATAATTTAAAAATTATGCGTTTTATTGTCGTACGAGTAATTTTAGAAAAATTGAAATTCAAACGTAATTGTTATACCGCATGTACATCCCACTCTACCAATTGTAATTAAAATATTTAGAATTAGAACTAAATCAAGACTTCTCAGAAACATTTAATATTATTTTCTTTAATTTTATATTTTAATTAAAAAATAAAAATAAAAGTTAACCATCTTTTAAATCATCTACATTCAGTGTTCAATAGAATTTTAATATTACAGTATACCAAATTGTCATTCACACAATTACGCGTAAAACACAAATAATTGAAGTTGAGGAAAATTTCTTCGAAATTAATATTGAAATGTTCGTGATAGTTGAATGAGTTGTATGTGATGTAAAAGACGATAATTTATAACACTTATGGTAATCAATTCACAAAATTTTGATGCGCGTTTATCGTTTTTAACACATTTTTTGATGCATTTATCGTCTCCTTATACAGCATTTTAAAACTTGTAGCACAGAAATATTTAAATGAGTATGTTAATATTGTACGCTCATTTCAAGTTTCCTAATCAGATTCTAAAGGAATAGCCGCAACCCTATTTTTTTAAAACTCATGCCTTATAATGGAGAGAATTCGTTGCATTTTTATGCAAGTTTTTCAATATGGAAACAATTTTTATATATTTTATAAGACGTATGGACAAGAGATATGGTCTTGGTCCGGAGTATCTGAATAATTAAATATAAAAGAATTCTTATTAGATTTATCAGATTTCATAAAAATTTTTCATCCTACATTCTATTTGCATAACATTTTATTATAATTTAATTATATAGAGTTTAATTTTGTAATTCAATAAGAACATGGCGCCAGATATTTCTGGATTTAATAAGAAAACTTAACCAAACCTAAAATATCAAAAGTCAAATATTTTCTATATTCTAACCTTAAAATTCAACAAATGCAAAATAATTCATTTGAATAACGATACAACAAAAAAAAAAAAAATTAAAAAAAATTTTTAAAACGCCATTGGGGAAAATTTTTTATTTCATTTTTTTCCCTGTTTTTTCATCCTTTTATACTCCTAATAATTATTATTCTCATGTGAGCTTTTCGAATATTATGTGAAATATAAATCTTTTCACTTATATTTAGTTGTTCCTTAAACTATTTAACCATGTTTAAATAGAATTTATTCCCATATAGCAAAAAATATTTTGCATTTAATGGAGCAAAATGCAAGTATGTAGGTAAATTTAATAGAAAATTAAAACTGCATATGTGAATAAATTTTATTTAATGAATTTACATAGAAAAATTTTATATTTTTATCATTTAAAACACTTACGGACTTGCAGTACGGCACCATCCAGGTGCATGGAAGTTTTACTTGACTTGGTTCTATAGGTAATAAGTGAATAATTTGGCAGAAATATGCGGCATAATATGATTTGGACTTCAGAAATGTGCAAACTAAATTAATATTTG